GATGTTTTTGTTTGTTGTCTGTTTCTTTACTCTAACTTATTACTGTTGGTGTTTAGTTTAACGATGGTTTTGATTATGTTACAGGAAGAAGAAGAAACTCCCTCAGTAGACTAATCCACCATCGACCCCTGTCACTGAGCAGTTCCCTCCAGGGGAGTTTTCTGAAGGTGAAATCCAACAATATAAGGATGAGTAAGTTTCATATACCGTCATGGACAGCTTTTGGAAACCCTCTTATATGTTAGTATAGTTTGCAATAGGCGTAGATTTTTGTGGATCTGTGGAGAACTTTCTTTTTATCTTGCTTGCTCTTGAATGGATTGGATTTGCGTTTTGTTTTGTATGTCAAGACTATTTGTTTATGACTTTTATCACTCTGTTTGTGCTGCCATTTTAAGATGTTGGTCTTGTTCTTTGTATTGTAGCAATCTATGGAGAACAACATCTGAAAAGAAGTTCATCGCTAGGTTGACCTTTTTCCCGATTAAAATTCATAGATTATAGTTTTTCTGCCTCTTCTTACATTTCCTGAGAGTTTTTTCCTATTTTTTCAGGTTTGGAAATATGTGAGAAGCATAGTGAAGCCTGAAATGTTAATGACTGATATACGTGATACCCTGGAGAATTCTGTTCGTAAGCTGATATCAGAGAATGGTCTTCAAGCTGGTATTGCATTTCCTTCGATATGATCTTTGTTGTTCGGATGCCTATTGTCACTTTGTTCTTCCATAGAGGTGCTCGTGGCTGTCTCGAAGCTTGCTTATTGACTACTTTTGAGCGTCTTTTTGCAGCTTAAAACACATGAGCACAAGATAACTAACATCAAAACTGAGCTTGCAATCATGGAGCTCGAAGTTCAGGTCCTTATATTCTTGTTGTTTATAATGACTTCCATATTTTCTGGTTTCTCTTCTCACTTTATGTTTTCTTTTTGTTTGGGTTTTAACCTCTTCTCTGGACCCATACCAGACAAACTGCTAAGCATTCCGAAATTTCTGTAAGTGTTCTCTAATTTGATGTATTACCAATTATGTGGAGGCACTTTAGATTTGTTAAGTTCATGTTGTCTATGCTTAAATTGGTTATGCAGGAAGGAAAGAAACTTGTTCAAGTAAGTGCAAGCTTAGAAGTGCAAGTAAACAGAGGAAGAAGTTTACTTTTAGCTAAGACTTCAATTGAGACTTGTAGTGTATGTTGAGGATTGAGACTTGTATGGATATTTTTTATATATTGAATTTTCTACCAAAAAAAAATAGGTTTCTTGTAAATGTGTAACAAAATGTTCCAAACCAATAGGTCGTATAGCCTAATGAAGGTCACGGTTTATAGCTTAGACGTATAGCTACAACAGACTAGATCATGATAACAAAATAGAGTTACTAAACAATATAGCGTAGCACATGAAAAGAACTACAAAACAAATTAATACAACGTTAAAATGTGTTAT